GTGTGTGTGTGTTTTGCTTTGTTTTTCTTTTGTTTTTTTACTTAACACAGTTTCTCTTTTATGCTAGTAGATGAATTTTTAGTAAGACTGTATTACAAGGAAAAACACTTAGTTTTAAAAATGGAAAATAAGCAACATTATTTGTGTTATTTCATTGAAGCCAGGAGCCAGTCTTACTTTCATATAATCATATTGCTAACTGGAGGTAATTGATATTGTCATTTACTAGCAAAATAAAATATCCAAGGTTTTAGCAATTTAAATGCCTTACTTAATTAAAACTTTGAGAGAAAAATGTGACTTTTGAAATAGAATATTATGATAAATAGGAAACCTTAATTCCTGCATAAATATAAATATATCTTCCTATGAGCGGCTGTGTTTTTAGAATGTATTTTCTTTGGTTTATTTCCACAAATAAATTTTAGCTGTTGTAGAACACATAGTGCATTACTTCTTGATATAGTCCTTAAGTATTTCTGTCTTTATGCAATATTTGAAGACAACCAATTCCAATTTAGAACAAAACAAAAAAATCATTTAAGTTGCTAAATTCCTTCTGATATGAATTTACTAACGTGGCAAATCATTTGTAATTGCGTTTTGTGTTATAAACAAATAATTTTTAAGACCAGCTCTTCCTTTGAATGTATTGTATTGATTTTTGCGTCTCTTAGCCTGAGAATATTCTTTTTGAGTCTCATTTATATTCATACTTTTTACAGAAATGCTTTCATTGGCCAAAATTGTTTCTTCCAGATCCTCTTCCCAGCCCCATGAAACTTCTCATGAGGGGGTTCTGTTCTTATAAAGCATAAAAATCTATAAATTAACCAAATTTGCATTGAAAATTCTACATCACAGCTTAAATTAACTTTGCTTTTTTTTCTGAGAAAATAATTTAAATTTTATTTACATAGAATTGTGTGTGTGTGCATGCACGCACGTGCACACAGAAAATTCATTTAAAAGAGTATAAGGCAGCAAAAATCCTCAGAAATCACACTTCTCTGAGACCTACCTCTAGTGTCTCTATATCTGTATGTACATGTATACCTGTAGATATACAGTTCTACACAAAATACACGGTAATTGTTGCCTTGCAAATTTTTTGTCTATATATTTTTTATTTCATAGTATGTGGTCACTCTTAATAAACTTGTTTATGATTATAAATATACATCATCCTTTTTAAGAGTACATAGTATACCATAGTGCAACCATTTAATCAGTTGCCTATTTATAGTCCTTTAAGCTAGTGCCATATTTTTTTCAGCTGTAAACAATGCATGGTATTGTTACTATTTTCTCATGTTCCTTCATCCTTACTAGCTCCTCTAATCTTCCAATTTGCATTGTCTTTCTACCCAGTAAATCCTGCCAGTGCCTTAACATAAGTGTTTTTAACAAGGGGAGATCATAGACTATTTAAAAACATTTTTTAATATTTGTTCTTTGAATGGTATTGTGTACTGAATAATATACTTCTCTGAAATGAACTATTTTTTCCCCCAGAGATTTATAGGTAATAAGGGTCCTACCATTAGCCTCAAATTGTCATAAAAACCATCTTATTTAGTTGTTTTTATGACATAAAACCTCAGAGTTTTTTGGAAGTACAATTCCACTTTTTATCTGTTTTGGAAAATTTAATGTGCAAAGATGGTTCTCCAAAAAATGAAATGAGGAAACCAACTATAATTTACTCATCTCCAAAATTCTTTTTTTTTTTTTTTATGATACAGATGTGATGTTATCTGTGGATGCCTCCCTATACTAGCCCTTGCCCTCTGTCACCAGAAGTAACTATTGTCACAAATTTTGTGTATATTATTCTCTTTATAGTTTTATTCTAAATAATATGTTACTTATTTTTGTGTTTTTTGAATTTTTATAAAGTTTATCTGACTTGCCTTTTATGCTTATCAGTATATTCCTTGGACTCATACATGATGTTGCATTACCACTCGGTATTATTCTGTTGAATGTTTGTATCACAGTTTATTTACCCATTTTACAGTTGATGAACATTTAGATTTTTTTCCAGTGTTTCTATTTTGAAAAAATTTTTTTTTCAACGTTTTTTATTTATTTTTGGGACAGAGAGAGACAGAGCATGAACGGGGGAGGGGCAGAGAGAGAGGGAGACACAGAATCGGAAACAGGCTGCAGGCTCCAAGCCATCAGCCCAGAGCCCGACGCGGGGCTCGAACTCACGGACCGCGAGATCGTGACCTGGCTGAAGTCTGACGCTTAACCGACTGCGCCACCCAGGCGCCCCTGGTGTTTCTATTTTGAACTATGCTGTTGTGAACATTCTTGAACATGCCTCTTGGTATATGTGTGCAAGAGCAGAGACTGGGAATACCTGATAGATAACCTGTTTTGTAAAGTTTTATTGGAACATAGCCATACCCAATCATTTACATATTTATATATAGCTGTTTTTTGTATTATAAAGGCAGATCTGAGTAATTGCTACAGGGGCGCTATGGTCTGCAAAGCTAAAATATTTATCTAGCTCTTTAACAGAAAACGCTTGCCAGTCCTGCTGTAGGATAGGGTATATACACCTAGAAGTGAACTTGCTGAGTCATAAGATGTGTGCATCTTCAGTTTTACCAGATGATGCCATGGTTGGGTTTCCCCCCCTCCTCCCCACAAAGTCATTGAAACAGTTTATATCTCCTAGCAATAATGTATCCCTGGGAACACTTGATATTGTCACACTTTGAATGTTTTGCCAGTTTGGTGAGTATAAAATAGTATTTTATATGGTTTTAATTTTCCTTTCCAAAATTATTATTTATTTTTATTATTTTAAATGCTTATTTTTGAGAGAGAGAGAAAAAACAGTGTAAGTGGGGGAGGGGCAGAGAGAGAGACAGACAGACAGACAGACAGAATCTGAAGCAGGCTCCACGCTCTGAGCTGTCAGCACAGAGCCCGATGCAGGGCTTGAACTCACAAACTGTGAGATCATGACCTGAGCTGATGTTGGACACTCAACCAATTGAGCCACCCAGGTGCCCCTGCTTTCCAAAATTATTAATGAGGTGCTTGAGCCTCATTTCATATGTTCATTGGCCATTTGTTCCTTTTTGTGATGCTTAGTCGAGATTTTTACTAATTTTTCTGTTACCAGTTTGCAGGAATTCTTTATTCAGGATAGTAATTCATTACCAGTTATAGGTGTTAAAACTATCTTCTCCCAGTTTGTAAATTGCTTTTTCTCTTTATCGTGTCTTTTAGTGTGCATACATTCTGAATTCTAATGTAGATAAGTATCAGTCTTTACTTTTATGGGTAGTGCTTTCTGTGTCTCATTTAGGAACCTCTCCTTCACTTCCAAAATATGAAGATATTCTCTCTTACTTACTAAAGGTTTTATAATTTTATCTTTAATCCTTTAATTTACTTGGATTTTATTTTTGTGTGTGGTGGAGATAATAACTTCATTATATACTTAATTTTAATGAATTTGTAAATTTTAATTTAACTTGGGAAGTTTAGTCATTATTTACATATTTTTATCAGCTAGAATCTTTTTCTCTTCCTCTGGGCCTCCAGTGACACTAATATTAGGTCCAAGGCTGCTTTTTTTTTCCCTCCCTTTCTGTTTAGATTGTATAAATCATATATATAATGCATGTATATATAATATACATTCTAATATAATTTTTTAAATAGAAGAAGTTCTAATTTTAAAGATTATTTTCTTATAAACAAAAAGCTTGGTTATCCAGTATCCCATAATTTAGGAAGTTAGATTGGGAAAGAATGTTGCTATAGACAGCCATAGTTAATCCTAACTGCAAATAGTGAAGCAGAAAAGGTATCAAGAAAGATTAGAAATTTGAAAATGTAATACTTTG